GCGGAGAAAGAAAAAATTTAAACCGCGGTTTCAAAGTCCTCCCTTTTCCTTGTTGGGTTTCCCTCCCGTTAATAGAAGTGCATTATAATCCGTTTTAAGTAATTTAGAATTCGGGAAGGGGCAAGTTTCGGCCACAAAAGAGATAATTGGAAAAAAGAAAAATTGTAACGGAATTTTTCTTATTATATGTATAAGTGGTGTGATGGGCATTATGTGTAAAACCAACTAATTTTAATTAAGAACTGTTTAATCCTTAGTAAATGGATAGATACTTAAATAAATCCACCAAAAGCTCCACTCTTCAGCAACACGCCTTTCTGTTCCATGGTATGTGTCTATATAGATCTCTATATATACACATGCATGTGTCTAAAGTCTACATGTCCTGTCCTCCTCCTCCTCCTTATTGGTGAGTGTTCTCCTCTATGGCAGCCGCACACACACGCACACACACACACTCACACTCACACGCACACGCACACGCACACACGCACACGCACACACACACACACACGGACACGGACACGCACGCACACACGCACACACACACACACACGCACGCACACACGCACACGCACACGCACACACACGCACACACGCACACACGCACACACACACGCACACGCACACACACACACAGATATAGGCCGTTTTGTTGTCCTCCTCTGTATAGACTGTATAGGAATGTGTGTGTGTGTGTCCTGCACCACCGCTCACCGGTGTCCCTTTTGCTTGTTGCCATGGTTACGTCGGTGTGCAGAAATCCCAATTTTCTTTAGAGCACAGAGAGAAGAGAGAGATTAAGTTAAAAATATGAACTTCAGTGTGAATTTTGAATATTTGTTCTTTATTTCTTCTTGCTTGTTTTTTTGTCTGAAGGTCTAAAGAATTTCATCATTGGAATCTTCTTTCAAAATAAAGGTTCATCTTCACAGGAACACTTTGAGCGGATACAACAGTTGTTGGCCAGGTAAAGGACCAGCATGCACCTTGGTGTTTTTACCAGCACAGTGTCAACAGCATAGAAAACGCTAGTTATATATTGTATTTGTTTGTTGTTGTTCATTTTTTGGAATTAATGTGAAACAAAAGGAAAAGACATTGGTGGCCCTTAGACGTAATAATGTATTATTAGGACAAATGGCCACTACAGAAGCATCAAGGCTCTTCTATGCTAAAGGAGCTGATAAAGGAAGCGTCTAGGGAACTCAAACAGCTCTTATTGTGAAAGACATTTGGCTACTTCCTGCTCATTTAAGTGACTATTTTCCTGCCGACTTCCTCTCCGGCTGCCCCCCCCCTACTGACAAAAGTTACGCTTCCTCACCAACCCGCCCACTGTGTTTGATTGACAGGCGTGGAGCGGCGCGCCATCAAAGACCGGCCTCAGAATCCCCGCCCCCAAAAAACGGTCACCATGACGATTGCCCCTTTAATGAGCCGCAGAAAGCTGCTGAGGAGTGGAAACGAAAGAGTGAGCCGCTGGAGATGTTATGTGGGCCACATGGAAGCAGGAGCAGCATAATCCAGCTACACACAAAGAGGTGTGGGGGGGTTTACAGGTTTATTGGATCACATATGCGGTTTCATGCAATTCATGGCTCCTTTCCTCAACGGGAACAATGGCCACATTCATACACAAGAGAAATCAATTACTGATGGATTAATGTGACAGACGGGAGGTTAAGGCGGAGCACAGAAGAGCGCGTGGGTGCAGCACAAGTGCTTTAATTGGCTTGTGTGTGGGAGGGAGGGGGGGGGGGGGCATTATTGTGTGGTTTATTGCTGACTTCAGGATTAAAATTCTTGTTGTTTCCTCCCTCCTCTCCTTCTTCTCTCCGTTCACACGGTGAACAAATGACTCAGAATCTGAATCCTGTACCCGGATGCAGAGAAAACACAGCAGCCGTCGGTCAGAGTCTGCAGCAACGTTTAGAACCCCACAAGCTTCCCGCGTTAAAGCCGCTTCCTCTGCAGCGACCAGCAGGGGGCGACTCCTCTGGTCCTGCACACGTCTGTGAGGAAATGCATCTTATTGTGAAGTCCTGCTGCGTTGAGTCGGGGCTGCCCTCCTTCTTCTCGCTACCCAGTTTACTGATGATTTCCTCCTCGTCCTCCCAGAGAAGCAGCGCAGACGTTATCGTGGAGCGAAGATGAAGGAAGCCTCCGAGGAACA